AGTCCTTTCTTTTCTTTCTTTTTTCATTGTTACTTTTTTCTTTTTTTTAATGTTTTTATTCCTCTCATCCTGATGTCATTTACCACAATAACTTGCAGTTGCGTAGTGCATGGCAGTTTATAGGACTTGGACATGATCTCATTTGACCGTCACGACTTTGATGTACAGAGAACTCCATTTGCATAGGACCCCATAGAAAGTGGTAGATCCAGAACCCAAAGTCCTCAAGCCATGTCTTCTAACAAGTCAGCTCTGTTTTCCATTATATTCTGTTGCCTTCCTTGAGCCATAATGATAATAGCTACCATTTATGGATTGTTTATGATATGCCTGTGTTTGAGTTAAGTGGTATCATCTAAGCCTCAGAGTAGAAGTATCTCCATTTTGCCAACCAGGAAGCCAAGATTTAGACAAATACCTCTCCCAAGATCACTCAGCTTGGAAATAGCAAAGATGAAATTTGAACCCAGGTTTGGCTGTGTCTAAATCTGCTTATTCACTAAGCTTTGTATTCCTAACATCTTAACTCAAAAATTTTTTGAGCTCTTAGCACAAAATTTAGGATGCATCCTTATTACCTAGAGGGGCTTGTTAAAACAGAATTCTGGACCTTTTCCCCGGAGTTGCTACCTCAGTGGGCCTTGGTGAGGCTGGGAATTCCCATTTCTACCAGGTTCCCAGGTGGTGCGGATGATGCTCCTGGTTGGGAGAACACGTTTGGAGAACCCCCGCCCCCGCCACACTGCCCCTCCCCCACTAGGTGCACTGAATTACTGCCAGCAAAAATGTGTTTCATATGGAGGGGAAGGACTTCAATTATGCATTATTACATGGCCCATTTTAAATGGGGTGTATCCCATCCATTATTCTGTACAACTTTAAGGAGAAAATTATTATGGCCATAGAGTGGTTCCTGGTTTCTAGGTTAAATTCAGGTCTTGTCATTTTATTGCATTTTTCTTTGCAGTCATTTATGAGAACTGTTCTAACTTCTGGGTCACTACCTATACAATGGGGAGCTTAATGCCCACCTGAAAAGGGTAACAAAACCATTTATTAATTAAAGCTGAAAGTTCTCTGAGAGAGTTGCCTGCCTTATCTACTTACCTTCTTGCTTAGGATATCATGTGTTAATTATCTCTTATTTTGAAGAAGTTTATGATTTTGATGTGATTTACATTTCTAAACTTAATCGTGGAGAATGATTCCCTTTAAGAAGGCTGCCCCCCTCACTTGACGTGTCTTCTCCCTATCTTTCTTCCCCCCATCTCTAGCCACTGATAACCACTAACCTGTTATCTATCCCTACAGTTGTTATTTTATGAATGCTATATAAATAAATAATGCAGTATATATCCTTTTGAGATTGGCTTTTTCACTTAGCATAATTTCCTTGAGGATGTTGTGTGTATCAATAGTTCATTTCGTTTTATTGCTGAGTATTCGAGGCTATAGATGTGCCACAGTTTGTTGAATCATTCACCCATTGAAGGACATTTGGATAGTTTCCCGTTTGGGGCTATTAAGGATAAAACTGCTGTGAACATTCATGGGCAGGTTTCTGCGTGAAAATAAGTTTTCATTTTCTCTGGGATAAATGCCCGAGAGTGCAATTGTTGGGTCATATGCTAATCCCATTTTTAGTTTTAGTAAAAGAAACTGCCACACTTTTTTCCAATGTGACCGCACCGTTTTACCTTCATACTGGCAATATGTGAGGTTTCCGGTTTCTCTGCAGCCTCCTCAGCAGCTGTTCTCCTGAGGGTAGCCATCCTTGTGGGTGATTCGCATTTCCCTAATGGTTCATAATGTTGAGTATCTTTTTACATGCTTATTGGCACTTTGTGTATTTTCTTTGGAACATATCTAGTCCATCCTTGGCATGTTTTCAAACTGGATTGTCTTTTGATTGTTGAATGTCAGAATTCTTTACATATTCTGGACAAAAGTCTCTTATCAGGTCGATGATTTGCAAATATTTTCTTTTTTTCTGTGGGTTGTCTTTTCACTTTCTTGATGGCAGCTGGGAGGAGAGGGAGCCCAGTCTTCTTGACTAAACTTGCCTAAGATGGAGCTTCTGGAAGGCGGAGCTGGGAGGGGTTGGTAATGGAGCAGGTCATGGCTCAAATGCCATAGACGCTCACTGTTCTTGCCAAGATCTGGTAGGTTTTCTTGAACAAATGTTTTTCCATTTGTCATTATATCCTTAGGACAATTTCCAGAAACTTTTAATGAATGTTTTTATAATTTTTACCAGTTAAGTTGTTGTTTTGCTGGGAGAGTATCCACAGAGCTAGTGCCTCACTGTGCAAGGCCAGCCTTCTCGAATGAACTCTATGATGCACACACGCCCAGGAGATTTTACGCCCTCCGTTCTCATCTGCCTTTCTGAATTATCAGATGATTCTCTGGTAGGTCTAGCAACTAGAGTAAGATCTTCTCCGCACAACTCTGCAGGACTAGAACAGAGCCCGGAACGTTGTGCTTCTTGAGAGAATGACTGCAAAAAAAAATGAATGAGTTTAAGCATCTAGAAGGAGATAGATGTGGGATGTGTGAGCACATCCAAATGGAGAGGGGGGTCCATAGAAGGGCTGAGCGGAAGGGTACCAAACACATATGTGGCCCACCTAGAACGACTGACCCCTTGCAGATTCATGGGCTGAGCATGGTTAGAAATCTGAAAATCATTGTTTTAAGTTTTATGTGTACATGTCCTGTATGTGTCTTTATGTGGTTCTAGGGATGCACAAACGTCAAACATACATTGTACACACATGAGCAGATACCTATGTATACGTACAGATACACATACACTTATTTGTACAAGCGTTATGGAAACCTTTGGAGCAGTGAGATATTCTGAAAGGACATTCTGTCTTACCTAAAAGTAACATAAAGAATAACGGGACATTCAAACAATCTCTTGTCATTTTGCTGATGAGGAAACTGAGTCCCAGAGAGCTCATGTGTTTCATTCATAATGTCACAGCTACCTAGGGGCAAGAATGTTCATCCCATATCTCCCGTTACCTGTTGTGTGAATGAACACAAGCTTCAATCGTGTAAGTTTTATCCCCAGCATAAGCAAATCCTGCTTCTCTACCACCACTTAAAAATCAACATCCTAGAATAACTGTCATTTGAATTTTTGCTGTAAGTTTTCTGCCTTCCCTCTACCTCCACTCCTTCCCTAAAGTAAATTCTGCAACTGGCAACTTTGAAACTTGTTACCAGCCAGAACATTAATAGGGTTTTACATTTTTAGCAGCCTAATGATGAGGATGTAGGACCTTCTGTGCTAGTCCCTCAGGGGTTTCTATTCTGGGCGTTTATTAAACTTTGCTGTAGTCTGAAGCATGTTTGACCTTTTTATATTAAAAACAATTTGAGTTTAAAGTTTATATGTATATTTGTGTGTGTGTGTGTGTGTGTGTGTGTGTGTGTCTATACATATTCCCCTCTTCATTCATTAGGTAGAGATCCCAACATTTTTAACAGTTGAATTTGAAGATACTTATCAATTATTTCCCTATGTTTGGTGAGCAAAGAAGAAGCCATTACCATCATAATTTAATATTTCTTATTTAGCCAAATTTGAGCCCTCTTGAAAATCTTTTCTACTTTCAAGTCTATTTTGCAGTTTAATTAATGCAGTGAGGGTTTTTATTTTACTCTCAATGGAGATAATCTTAATCCATTCACGGTGACCTTTTCTTGTGCAAATTAGCTGTACAAGCTTGTTTAAGCAAATGGTCCTTTGCATGATGTCTCTTCTTAATGACGGGTTTATAATTGAAAATTGGCTTACTCCCATATGCCTAGTTTGTATGAGAATATAAAAATAGATGTGGACTTTAAAAATATAAATGTATATATCAGTATCCCAAAACGAGGAGGGAAGAATCTGATGCCTTGAGGCTATGACTAAATTAGACTATTAGAGTCAGAAAATGCTGGCGACGTGTGCCACGGTCAAAGTCACACCTGCCTGCCGAGCACTGGAAGCTCTTGAACAATGAGAGTGATTTCATCTTAGCTCTCAGAATCCACGCTTTCATAGGACAGGAGCCATTTCTGGCTTCCCAAGTTTGCTTAAACTCATAATGAACCTGAAACTGTGTGTGTAGGAATGTGTTTGTGGGTCTCACGTTTAAAGTGATAGCCCTCAACAAAATGAAATGCTCCTTGCTTTTCCTGCACTTCACCAGCAGAAAGAGACAGCTGACGCTCGTGTTATATTTTGCCTTTTTTCAAGTGCAAAAGCCGTGTGATACCGCCAAGTGGTCTTTGAGTAAAAGCCACAATCCTCTCTTCTGCCCCCTGGTTCTCTGCACCCCGGTTTTCTGCACCCCCCTGCTCTGTTTTTTTTTTCTCTTGTTATTCTTATTTCCCCATTTCTTAGGCCAGCTCCTTCCATCTCCCTTGTCTTTCCCCTGTAAGTCGTGTCAACCATTCTTATAACAGGAGTATTTGTCTGGCGTAGCTGAATATTCTTGGTTAAATGTAGAAACTCCAGCGTGAAGGAGAAAGTGAATGTTGTTGTGTGCTTGTAATGGAGGTTTCCTGAGTAGGTTTTAATAGCACGGGGTGGGGAACAAGGACAGTCTTAGTTTTGCTGAATAACATGGCATCAAGAGCGACGCGTTGTGGTGTTTTTTTTTTTGTTTTTTTTTTTAAGCTTATAGGAACAAGACATTTCATCAAGACACAAAACTCTGATTTTTGGAAGCCAAACCTAGGCAAGCCAAATTGTTCCTGGAACCATCAGACTTGTCTCTTATGTACCCCTAATTGCTTTGTCCCCCATGAAACTTCACATGTGCTCTCCCTCGTGCAACACCCCCACCTCCACAAAGGGGACGTGAGAACTGCCCACCAGCCAGTGTATTTCCTGAGTTGCTCTGGGTAATTTCATGCAGGTGTGCACCCACAGATGTTCATTCATCCCCCACTCCTAACGGGTCTTCGTTTGCTGATTGCTCCTCCTCTCCTTGTAGGTATGATTATCGGGAAATGCTGCACAATGCCACTTTCTGTCTGGTTCCTCGTGGTCGCAGGCTTGGGTCCTTCAGGTTCCTGGAGGCTCTGCAGGTAAGAGACTCTGAACCCTCCCCAGACTAGGGCTGAGGACTGAAGTCAGACGGGGTGGGTTTCCCCTTAGCCCTTCTGCTGGGATCGAAACAGAATGCACAGTTTGCCTTGAACACCTGAAGTCTGTTTTCCCAAGAAAGTCTGCAACACTTTGTATAAGGGGGTGGGGGGAAGAGGATTTACTCCCTGTCTTCGGACATGGGAAGATTAAATGGTTTCACCACCAGGGAGGATGGGTTCTTTGGGGACACGTCTGCAAACGGAGGGTAGATCTGACTGCCCAACAGCGGCCTCATTGGGCAACCTGCAGACACACTGCCCTGCCTGGAAGCCAGTCTCAAGAGCACTGACTTCAGACAATGGCTTCTTGGTGGTGCTTCCCAAAAGCAAATTGTCTTTTCTGCCCACCCCACTCTGTCGTCTCTTGGTGCCTCTAAATTCTGAGAGTGATGCCCAGGGGGTCGCGCTCCTCACTTTGGCCCACCTATCCCCAGGCTCTGCAGCTCTGGGGCCTGTGGGGATGGGGGGGATCTGCTCATTAGCCTCACTCTGCAGAAAGACCTGCTGAGACACCTGTGCTCATTTCCTGCACCTGGGAGTTGCACTCAGCCTTCCGTGATCTTGAGAAAGCATACTCTCAGCCGAGACTCTCTCCTCCTCCACTCCTTGCTTCCTGGCTTCTCTGTTCTTTCCCCCTCTATGTTCTGCACCTTGCCAGAGTCTGCTTTTGTGCGCAGTGCTTCCTAACATACATCCTTCTGTCGTGTCCTCCAACCAAAGAGCTTGCTTCTGGCCCTTTCCAGTGTGTTCTGTGGAGCATAACCCTAACACTAATGTTCTCGTCGCCTCTGTGGGATGTCGCATGAAGCAAGTAGTTTTCCGCTTTGGATTAGGAGTTATTCGCCTTAACCTGGCGTTTCCTGGCTGACAGATCTCTGTGCAAGCAGGACGTTGGTATGACAAGTGGTTTGGATCCGTCCACAGTGAGCGGAACAAGGTTCTGGCTCCGATGTTTGCACCGCAGGGGAAAGGGGAGCAGCCGGTAGTAGTTCAGTCCACAGCATGCTTCATCAGGAGGGCCAACCCCCATTCTACCCCTTTTGCTCCTCACGGTGGGGTCAGCCACCCCGCAAGCAGACGTGTGGCAGTTACCCTGACAAAACCGTTTATACTCAAGGTTGGTTTTAGGCTGGGATGCTGTTGGTGGACGATTTTTGTTACCTCAGTAAAACTTCTTGGATGAGGCCAGTTGTCGCCATGGCGATAAGGTTAGCCGAACCACGCACTAGAATAGAAATGGGGTTTTAGCCTTCGGGGGCAAGGCCTGCCCACGTCAAAATCTCGGCTCAATCTGTATAGCCTTCCCGCGACTCGGTAACTCATGCGAGCTTACTCTTCTTCTGGCCCAAGCGGCCCAGGATCCATGCAGCGATCCGAGTAAGAAACGCCAGTAGTTGGGCTTGTCCTGCTGTCACCTCCCATTGGAAAGGCTCCCCCTGCCGCTGCTCTTACATTCACGAAGCCCCCTTCTTCACCCAGGCTGCCTGTATCCCTGTGATGCTCAGCAACGGATGGGAGTTGCCGTTCTCTGAAGTGATCAGTTGGAACCAAGCCGCCGTCATAGGCGATGAGAGATTGTTATTACAGGTAAGGAAGGGGCGCTGGCCTTCAGCACATCAGCAGATTATTGCTGCCCCTGTCCAAACTTTCAAAGAAGATGAATCCAAAAGGTCAGCTCTGTAAAAGAAATTTTATCAGGAGAAAATCTCCTGTGTCATGGCGAATATGAAGTCGTTTAATATGACATTGTTCACTTTCCCACACAAAACCCACCCCGCTGCAGGGAAGGTATTTGGCAAAGGAGGTGTGGCAGGTAAAGGATATGAACTTTAATGGTGAGAAGAGGTGTGTGTCCATCCTCTTCCATATCCAGACTTTTTAGAAATTGTACCAGAGAGTTTTTGTACCATCCTGCCACTTCATATTCCTTTCCCCTATTTCTGTAATGGCCTTCAGATTAATTTTCGGAAAGAGGGAAGTCTCTAGGGTTGATTCTTATAATTAGTGTTATCATTGCTCAAATGATCCAGTCTGGGAGCCTGAGCAGTGTTATCTTTAACATGTATATTTAAAAGAGCAGCCTCTAATAAAAAAATGATTTTTTAAATGTATTTTTTGCCACTTGGATCTCTTTATTTTATTTTATTGTATCAAGAATATTTAGCATGGGATTTACCTTCTTATTTTTAAATGCAGGATTATTGTTGACTGTGGGTTCAATGTATTAGACATCTCTGGAGCTTATTCATCTTATTCAACTAAACTCTGTGTCCCCTGATTTAGTAACTCCCCATTTCTTCCTCACCCCCAACCCTGGCAACTCTCATTCTACTCTGTAATTCTGTGAATTTGACTATTTTAGATAGATACCTCATGTATGTGGAATCATGTAGTATTTGTCTTTCCGTGACTGGTTTATGTCCCTTAGCCTAATGTCCTCAGGGTTCATCCATGTAGTCCTATATTGTAGAAGTCAGACTTAATATGATTAAAATGACCATATTACCCTAATTGATCCACAGATTCAATGCACTCCCTATTAAAATCCTAATGGCGTTTTTTACAGAAAATGAAAAATAATTCTAAAATTCATATAGAACCATAAAAGATCCCAAATAGCCGAATCAGTCTTGAGAAAGAACAAAGCTGGAGGCATTATATTTCCTGATTTCAGAATATATCACAAAGCTGCAGTCATCAAAATGATATTGTACTGCCGTAGAGAAAGACAGATAGACCAATAGAACAAAATAGAAAGTCCAGAAATAAATCTACCCATATACAGTCAACTAATCTTCAACAGGGATGCCTAAGAAAAGTTTGAACTTCTCACGAGCTGTCTAGGGAGAGGAATATGATACTCACAGAGAAATCTAAGGGCAGCAGTTGTCAGTCACTAAGGATTTCTTTTTTCTTTTCTTTTTTTTCTTTTAGAGAGAGCATGCGCAGGAGGGCCAGGTGGGGCAGGGAGCAGAGGGAGAGGGAGAGAGAGTCTCTTAAACAGGCTCCACAGCCAGGGCAGAGCCTGATGCAGGGTTTGAGCTCACAACCCTGAGATTATGAACTGAGCCTAAATCAAGAATTGGACATTTAACCAACTGAGCAACCCAGGCGCCCCCACTAAGGATTTCTGAAGCCCTTTTGTGCAATAATGTTTTAGGTTCCACATAAATTGCCATACCCCTTTCTCTAAAATTATAGAGTATTTTAATGTTTTTCATTGATGGCATATATACTTGAACTACCACAAATATTGTAGAATGATTTTTAATGTCCTGGCTTTTTTTTCTTTTTTCTTTTTTTAATATCAAGAAAATTGAGTTCCTAACTCTGTTGTTGATTCTGCTTCTGCTGCCGGCCAGTCTGCTAGCTGGCTGATGAAGTAGCCCAGTTCTCTTCCTAGAGTAACAGTGAGAGATCTGTACCCACGAGGGCTGTGAATTAGGCAAGCCAGGCTGAACACAGCCCCCAGAACATTCCTTCCCTCTGGTACTCAGGTATGTGATCTCCGTGGCCCCTGGGACCTCCAAAACGAAAGAGGAGTACGTGACCTAGCAAAATCCTCCCCGGCCCGAATGGTGTATGTGGGGAACATTGACTCATGAAAGGCCAGACAAAAGTGATATGTGTAGTTCTTTCCCATGTGGCCTTTCTCCTTCCTTTTATGATTTTTTTTAAAGAATACATCCTCATCAAAGGAAACTTGGGACATAAAAGGAATAAAAAAACATCAGCCATAATCCCTCCAGTTATACACCAACGCGCCCTGCGAGTTTGACGTGGGTAACTTGGGCGTTTGTCTCGGAGAGGAGAGCACTCCAGGAAACTGAATTGTGGTTGTCCACTTTCTACCATTTCACTAAAGCTGGTGTGGATTTCACCTTCTGAAGCAGTTGTTTTGGCCTTGCCTCTGAAGATTCTGTTTTCCGTCCTGCCCCCGCCCAAACTTGCTGGTGTTTCCCCCTCTCGTACGCAGTCTGTCTTTGCCCAGCTGCCTCCATATTGAACAGTGACTGTGCTGTCATTGACAGTCGTGGTGAAGAGCTGGTGCCGAGGGGCGCCTGGGTGGCTCAGTCGTTAAGCGTCTGCCTTCGGCTCAGGTCATGATCCCGGGGTCCTGGGATCGAGCCCCGCATCGGGCTCCCTGCTCAGTGGGAAGTCTGCGTCTCCCTCTCCCTCTGCTCATGCTGTCTCTCTCTCAAATAAATAAACCTTTAAAAAAAAAAGAGCTGGTGCCGAGCCCAAATGTCTGCTCCGGGAGATGTTGTTGTTATGTTACAACTTTCTGTTTCCTGTTTTAGAACAGCTCCGATGTTTTTATTTGCATATATTCTTGTCATTATGTCACCAAGAGAGCTGAATGTTGCTTTCCTGTGTCTATTTTGGTAGATTCCATTAGTTTTGTTACCATCCATGACCTTTTATTAAGACTTCTCTGAGTTCTGCAACGCTGAACAATCCGACCAAATTGGAATTAATTTATCACTCTCGCGTACCTGTCTCTCAGGACAAGCAGATTAATAACCAATAGCCAAATGCCATGAAAAGCTGGAACTCTTGTCTTTTCGGGCGGTTGGAATTCTCTTCCAGAGCACTTTGCAAAGAGCTATCATTTATATTGTACGTACAAACGGGCAGCGTATGGTTCACTTGATGTCATAACATCAAATTGTGGCTTATATAAAAAGGGGAATATATTGGTAGGTTAATGTGTGATATTCCCTCTGGATGCCTGGGTGGCTCAGTCAGGTGGGCATCCGACTCTTGGTTTCAGCTCAGGTCATGCTCAGCGTGAAGTCTGCTTGAGATTCTCTTCTCCCTCTGCCCCTTCCCCCCCATGTGCTCTCTCTCTGTCTCTCTCTCTTTCTCTCTCTAGAATAAATAAAATCTTAAAAAAAAATACATGATACTCCCTTTACTCATTCATAACCATAGCCTACCTAGTTTTCTGGAGACTATGTAGTCACAGTAGCTTTTGGCATTTTTCTAATGGACTGGTTTCTTGTGATCATGACAAAACAATGAAGTCAACCTATATGACTCTTCGAAGAGGCCACTGACATTTAGAAGAAGGTGTGATTATGAAAATTGAGCAGAGTAACTTTTTTCTAGTCTTTTTTGGCAACCTAGGTAATTTTCTGAGTAAATAAAAATAAATTGTCCTTGACTTATCAAGGATCCATAACATTGATAGTTTCTCTACCTTCTCCAAGGATATTTTACTTCCACTTGACCTTGAGTTCTAATTGCGGGCTAACATTTGCCTGCCAGTGCTGCTCCTTTACCCGTGGCCTCCATGCTTCTTCAGCTTTGGGCATCCAGATACACACTCTGGGCCACAGATTTAGGATCTGCTTTGGCAAGTGAGCTTGTCCTTTTGTTCTTACTGTAAAGCTATTTCATTGCTCCTCTGTGGAATAGTCTTGAGTCAAAAAAATTTGCTACCGCCTCCTTCCCCTCCATGGAAATTCAGATGTAGCCTTAGTCACAATGCCATAAGTAACTTTCTTATTAAAGCAGCTAACAGAGCATTCCTGCTCCAGCCCAGGCCCCCATGTCTTTCTGATTAGTTACATGTTAGCGAAGCAAGCATGCAGAAAGAGGTGAGCACAAGAGGGCAGTTGCTAATCACAAGGAATCTCCTCTAAGAGTATAGACTCCATAAATGAAATAGACCTTGAACTATAGGTGAAGATAGGGAGCAAGCCCAGCAAACCTACCAGAAACCCAAGAAGTACGCGTCAGAGCTCCAGATCCAAACAAGTTCACATACAGACATTAAGCAATTGGTCCAACGTTGAATATCAACACCTTTATGTCAATAATAATAATAGTGGTAGTAATAATTTGCTGTGTTAATTAAGCTTCCCATGTTCTAGGCACTGTGCTAAGCACTTACATGATCTCCATTACAACCTTCTGATGTTACTACTGTATCCCCATGTTATAAATGAAGAGATGGAATCTTTGAGAGATCAAATAATTTGTCCAAGAAAGCACGGCTAGTAAATGGTAGAACCAAGAATTCCCACCTTGGTCTAATTTCTGTGTCCCCGTGTTTAACCATTAAATCTATATTGCTGGTAAAAATAATGATATCCCTATGGTGGGTTCAACTGGCCATGTTCAATTCAACTCATATTTCTTGAATAACTACTATATAAAAGCCATTCTTATAGCCATAACCTGTGTAGCAGGATGGACAGGACTTAGCTCTTTCCTTTAAAATCATGTAGCCTGGTAGAGAACGGTGATGACTGGACGTGTATGATGTTTGACACATCGTGGTAGGTTGGGGTAAGTGCTCAAGCCAAAAAGAGAGGCCGGGGAGCAGAAGAGTCCTTGGGGTAAGGTCACAGGTGTGTGCACATAGAAGTGACTGTCTGGCTACAGATTAAATGGAGAGGCTCAGAGACATTCCTTTAGAAGCCCCTTTGTAGATCATTTGGAGTCCCTGGCATGGGCATGTCTTGGAAGTGTTTGGGGGATAATGTCTTTCAGCCTTTCCCCAAAGCTGATAGCTCCCTTCTGTGTAGAATGTGGTTTTCCATGTGTTAAGACTGAGGATTTGTGAGACCCTAAGCAACTGATAAGCTGTTACCAAATCTTAGAGGGGACTTTAATTTCCATGCATTAAAGGTTGTTAAAGCTGATCCCCAGTAAGTACTGTTTGTACCTGATGCCTGTTAAGGACATTTCAACTTAGGGGTTGGTGATTTTTAGCCGATCTGTACACTAACACCTGAATGCTAAGAAGTATAAAAGCCTAACCCAGGTCGGTTATTTCGATCAAATGGCATCTCATTGTTTGAGAGTTATAGTTATTATGTGTTCACCTTGTGTTACAGATCCCTTCTACAATCAGGTCTATTCATCAGGATAAAATCCTAGCACTTAGACAGCAGACACAATTCTTGTGGGAGGCTTATTTTTCTTCAGTTGAGAAGATTGTATTAACTACACTAGAGGTAAGTGAGACCCCTTGGCTCTTGGTCTTGAATAATGGTCCTTTATACACTTCTGTTGGCCTTCTCTTTTGTTACTGGTGAGGTGTAATTGGTCAAATGGGACAAAACTGAATTTTTTGTACTGGGATATGTCAATTAACCCCCTTTTACCTGCTCTGCCATGCCCAAGCAAATCCCTCCGTTCCTCCCATAACTCCACAGAGGAAAACTGACAGGAGGAGGAATGACCCTTCTTGGCACAGAGATCGGCTCTGTCTTCCATCATTTCAGCGATATGTGGTTAATGACTGTCCTCCCATCCTTCACACTCAGTGGCATCCTTTGAAGACCTGTTTCTGGAGCCCAGTTAGAGATCAGATAGTGACCAAGTAGGGGAAATCTTCTACAGAACATTCTAGAAATGTTAACAGTTTACTGGGCGCCAGTGGCATTGGTTCTCAAGACGTGCATCCCAACCAGCATCAGTGTTGCAAGGATGTTTTAAGAAGAAAACCGGGATTACACTTACCTGGTGCAGAAAATCTTCTAGGTATATGGGTGCCCCTTGTAAGTTGCCTTTTTTTTTTTTTTTTTAAAGGCAGTAGGGAAAAAGGAGAGGGAAGCATGGAGATGATTAAAACCTTTGGAAGTAGAACAGATAGTGATGTCCTGAGGCTACACCACGATAGCACAAAGAGCTAAGAAAAGAGTTAGAAAACGGCACACTCATGAATTACAGACCTGCAGGAAGGAGAGCAGAGGTCCTCTGATGAGGCACACCATTGAGGTGATTCTGAGGTGTTACATAATGCCACGGGGGCATCTGTGGCCTCACTTTGGAGTATTTGCTTTGGAAAAGTGTTTATTGCTCCGAAAGGTAATGTAATTTGCTGCATACACTGAGGAGTCTGAGTAATACCAAGAAAACTGAAAATCACCCTGTTTTGTCCACACTGCTGTTCTCTTGCCATCCTGGGTATCAGAGCCTGTGCTGGCCATGCCCTGGGCACAGTGGGGCATTTCCCTACCCCAAGCCAAGCCTGGGCTCCTGCTCTGGTCAGAGTATCTTCTCAGGAATGGTGCACATTTTTTTTTTCAGCCTGGAACTAGGTGAAAGGGGCTCTTTAGGAGCCAGGCTCACCCCATGAAGGGGACAAGGTCAGAATGGCCTCCAGGGGCTTCCTTCTGGCAAGCAAACCTCTTGTTCCTTAAAATTGATTGCATTTGTGCATCTGTTCATAGCAGCAGGTTTGAATATGTAATAGTTTTTACTCTTCTATCCTGTTTTCCATCCAAGACCTTTCCTAGGCCCTTCGTAAGGAAAGTTGAATGTCAATTTTTTTTTCTTTGTGGAATGAGTGCTTTTTATGAAAAGAGTACATGTGCATTTTAGAAAATAATGGAAAATACTTAAAGCATAAAAATAAAATAATCTACCCATACAAAATCACTGTTGACATATATATATACACACACAAACATATATATTCATTTTTTCTAGGCAAATTTATACACATGTTGTAATTTTTAAGGAGTCTTTCAGGAGTGTCTAGCTGGCTGGGTCAGTAGAGCCTGCGACTCTTAAGCTCAGGGTTGTAAGTTCAAGCCCCACGTTGGGTGTGGAGCCTGCTTAAAAATAAATGAATCAATAAAGAGGAGTCTTTCTAAACTTAGTTTATGTTTTTTTCTCCTTTTAATAATGTATTGTTAACATTTTCTCATGCTATTGGATTTTTCTGCAATTATTTTAATGACTATATAATATTCCATTCATGATATCACTTAATTTCTTTCATTATCCTCAATTTGAAGACATTGCCATTGTTTCTGCTTTTTCATTATTAGACACATTGTTGAAGCAGATAGCCTCAGCACTAAATTGTTCTGCGGGTTCAAGATTACTTCCTTAGGATTAATTCCTTGAATACAAAGTCCTGGTTTAAAGAATATGACATATGCTAAGATTTCTAATAAATTGTCAATTTTCCTGCAATAGAATGAAATTAATTTATATTCCCTCCAACTTATATGAGAGGACCTGTTTTTATTATTTCTGGTATTTTTCACTTCCACCAATATTGGACATTATATCTTTCAAAATGATAAATAATTATTTTCTTAATTTATATTTCTTGGGATAATAGTAAGAATGATTTTTTTTCATATTTCTTAGGCAACTCACAAAGAAAGAAATAGAAATGGCCACAGCATTGTCCCTCTTTTTCTCATAAATTTTTAAGAGCTTATTATATTAAAAATATTAACCCTTTGACTCTTTTGTTGCAAATATTTCCCCCAACTTGTGGCATCCCTTTCTCTTTTGTTTATAATGAGCCAATCTTTTCTTCTGTGGCTTTTCCATTTGCTACTGTTCAGAAAGGACCTTTTGACACATAATTTATATACACACCCTTATATTTTTCTAGTACTTCCGCGGTTAACTTTTTACATTTAGCTATTTAATCCAATTTACTTTTATACATATGATCTGTATTGAAAAGTCTATTTCTTTTTCTTCTTTGACAGATTGTTAGGTAGTTTGTCCCAATATACGAAGTTGTCTTGCCTCAATATTGTCACATGCCATGTTTATGCACCTCTGGGTCTGCTTCTGGCCTTTTGATTCTGCCCTGTTGTCCACTCTAAAACACAAAGGCCACATATTTTCATTTTTCCTACCTTTTGCCCTCCTTTGGTGGACCTCCATTTATTTAACTAATCTACTGTTGGCTATTAATATTGTTTCTAGTTGTTTGTTTTGTAGAGATCTAGATATAGATGTCTTTAATCCAAGCAATGCGTTTCTTCATGTATCTTAGGCTATATTTCTATTTCTCTGGGATGGAGTCCTTAAAGTGGGATTATTACTAAGCCAGAGTCTAGGTTCATGATCTGCTTGCCAAATTACTCTTTAAGAGGATGCATCATTCTGGACTTTCATAAGCCCTCTGCGGGGAGACCTTCTCTAGCGGCCCTCTTGTTAGCCTTAAGGATCATAATTAAAACACACACACACACATACACACACACACACACACGACTGTGCAGATTTGCCAGATGAAAGATGGCATCTCATTAATTACATTTCTTTTGAGTATGGTTTATTGCATAGAGCTGATCTCTTGCCTATTCAGTTAGCAGTGCTCAATTATCCTGTAAGAACAGTTGGATGTGTTAGATTCATCAGAATAGAATCTCAAGTCAAGCTGTTGTCATCTCTGTGCTAGAAAGGCCTTCCGCTTGGATTTAAGCCATGCAGTTCTTCAGTGACACAGTTGTTTTGAAAACACTATGAACCATGTACTTCATTCAAATTTATAGCAACTGTCAAATTCTCCTTATATCATTCCAAGGTTGGATTGTAACAGTTTGACCCCTCAACCGAATTGCATGAAAGATACCATCCAGTTTCCCTTTTTAATTCAGAACTCAGATTACCCCAGAATTCAATGTAAATAGAAAAGCAGAGAACATAGCAGAAAATGCCATCCGCATACACAAATAAAGCCAACATGTTTATGAGAACGACTTAAGTATCACATGTCAAAAATGCCTACTTGGCTTAGAACTTAGATGATATAAGTCAGTATGTGTTGTAGCTCCTAAGTTATGAAGATAATTCAAAGTTACCCTTAGACAACATAGATTTGAGGATCCTTTGCTTTCAGGATGTTCTACACTCAGACTCTCAAACCCTGGGCCTTTCTTCCTGCTTGCTGTACTCTAGGCCATGGGAAGGGGATGACTCCGTGTTTGGAGAGTATGAGCCTTAGTGTTGCAGGTGATGCTTAGACACAACTGGAAGCAGGACCCCTTCTTTCCAGTGCCCGTATCAAGTTGTTAATACATTACAGTGCCCCGCACTCTGTCATACTTGGGACTTGGACTGATAGAAGCTTCCTAATTCTGCATCTTGGAATTAAGGAGCTGTTGAATCAGAGCTAGGCTCTTTGGAGCTCAGTTTTTGTGTGTGTATGCAAATTGAGAAGTAATGATGGGGAGAGTGATAAAATATTGCAGAGACAGTGTTCCTTCATAGATCCCATTGTTTGTCAGAATATTACACAGCAGTAACCTGGCACTAATGATTGAACCATGAGAGCTCAGTCAGAATCAAGGTGAGTGAAAGAAAAGTACACACGACTGTAATGTGTGAGAAGAACTAATGGTAGTTTGGACAGCACATTTTTAATGGAGTTTTATGAAGTATGCTCCAATTTTTTCTCTTTCTCTCTTACCTAACAATGCACATTCAAACCATGGTATTGCTGATGCTGTTGTGTAGTGGAATATTAAAAACCAGTGAGATAATGGAAGTAGAATGCTTTGGCTCCAAGTGGGGTAGCATACGCTGGCACTGCGTGTGTGAGGCAGCCTTGCATTGGTCAAAAGACCAAATCAGGGCCACACAGAATGATAGTAACCTGTAACCAATAGTCCATTATTCATAAAACAGGTGGCACAGAAAAAAGAAAAATAAGGAGCCTGTCATTCTTCCCTTTGAATTCATATTAATGAGAAATATTATCCTTATCAGGGGTGTCAGTTACATCTGTAATGAAAAGCTTTTGTATTGTGTGTGTATGTGTGTCTGTGTGTATGTTGTTGATTTTCTTTATAGCAACTTCTAAGTGTGATGTCTTCTTCCACAATAAAGAGTGAGCTCTAGTACTCTGAAAGGATCCTGGGAGCTGTCCAGTGAAGCGATAGGGAAAATTGGACATTAGGAGAGGGACAGAACGACTTTTCTGTTTGGTGAAATGAGACCCATACTCTTTTAGACTTTTGAGAAGGCAAGTGGTTACAAACCCTTTAGAAAATGTTTGTCAGTACGTATGAACAGCCTTAAAAATATTTATGCCCATTGACAAACTTCTAAAGAATCAATTCTAGATGGGGTAAATTTTAATTCATAACTATATTCATTGCTTTGCATGAAAAAATTTACACTATCGTTGGTCATTTAGGCTAAGTAACCCATGAATACTATTAATAATATGGAAAGTTATCTATAATATATAATATCTATGATATTATAGCAGTGTAAAAATGGAAAAATCTATGCCTAGAAAATGAATGCAGGAATGAGATTTTTTTTTTTAAGGCAAAAAAGTCAAGTCTTAAGTGTAAAAACTTAGGTAGCTATTCCTAACAAATTCTGAGAGGTTATTTTAATTTATGTGGTATTTTATTGTTCTATTACAAATGAGAAAAGTGAGACATAAAAGTGGCAAATTGCTTGGCCCAGGTTAAATTAAATATTTGCTATTGCTTTTGTACCTTTGTTGATATCTTCCTATCAAGATTCATTTGAAGAGAGTATGACATGCTCATTGCTATCTCGGAAGAATACTATAACTTGTTGTATCCTTGAATTCAAAACAATAACAGTGTTGTGATGCTGAACCAGAAAGAGTATGACAATGAGAAGCATACTGCCGAAAGATGGTGACCCATTTTGTGGCATCCCTTGGATACATGTCATTTGTAAATGTGTGGGACTTATGATGCTGTCTACTTTCAATTTATTCTGTGTCTTGATATCCGAGTTCATTTAAGTAACCACATGCTAGAAAGTACATAAATCTGGAAAGCAAAAAAAGTGGATCTAAACAAAAAGCTTATGTAAGGGAAAATAGACAGTAGATTTGGAAGATATAAATAATATAAAACTAGGATAAATGGTATATGAAGTGAAATTGCTCACCATATGAAAACCCTTCACAACCGTAAGAAGTTTCTCATAATTAATGCCTAGACAACAGCTTTTTAACACATCTCTGTTGTCCCAAAGAAAGTAAATGTTAATAATTTAGCTAGGTTCCTAAACTCTCCACCAAATTAGAAACTTCTACCTAGCCATGTAAAATCAGCAGTTTTGATCTGGGGGAAAGAGAAAAATGCAGAAATCATTGAACTAAAATATTTGAGTTCTTCCGAATTACCTCCTTGCTTCCTTTCTTCTCTCTCATTAAGAAATGTAAACATGATAAGGTTTGCAAAATAAATGTAGCTCACTTTATTACTTATCTATCACCATGTGGATGAGACGATTGTGTTAATAACCTTAAATGATAAAGCTCCATTGAAAATGGTCTTTACTTAAAGTCACATTGCATTAAATGGGGGCCTTGAAAATAATGATTTAGGTCTTAAATCTCTTTAGATACATGGCAGACTTTTTCTTTTTTTTTTTTTTTAAGTACAGAAAAAAAATTGCTGCAAACATGAAATCCTGTATCAAGTTAATTATTTGCCAAATCATGTCTTAATGAGTGGATGGTATAATTACAAGAGTTTGAAAGTCACAGAGAGAAATCTGTAAAGTGGACTAATCACGTTCATCTGACAAATGATTCAGGATGGGAGAATGTTTGACTCTAAATGTAGAATTTAATGATCTGCGAGGTCCCAAAGTCCAAAGAAACTAATGAACTAACATGGCTATTAGTCTTCATATGCCATGGTGCTTGTCCTATTATGTGGGATGTTTTGAACAATTGTTAACTCACTGCTTTTTGAGATGAAATGTAGAAAAACTTCAGCTAACCAGTACCCCAGAGTCCTACAATTGACTTTGAAAGGAAAACAAAATATGACAGATAAATCTGCCTCCCCAATTAAAGGAACAAATTGGAACTTCAACAGTTTCTAGAATGTTCCATGCCTCCTGTACCCTCCCAAACTGGTCTCCACATGCACATCTCTGTGGACCGAGAACAGATCTTCCTGGCTCAGCCATCAAGGAAGCTGTTCCATGCACTCTGCTTTGAAATGAGAATGTACTTATTATTATAGAAAGACAAGGTAGAATTTATGGTAAAACTGAAGTTTAATTAGGAAATTTCATTAGCCATCATTCATCTCTTTCTCTCTCCCACTCTCTTCCACTGCTCTATCACTCTGTCTGTGTCCCGGACGCTTTTATCAGTGGAGAATTTGGGGATAGAGTCACTACTTTGAGGGACGTCATTCCTCACATTTGGATTGAACATGCTCCTTATCAAATACCATCAAGGTCTCATTCTCACCACATACTGTGTTTTTATCTTCTAGATTATTCAGGACAGAATATTCAAGCACATATCACGTAACAGTTTAATATGGAACAAACATCCTGGAGGATTGTTCGTACTACCACAGTATTCATCTTATCTGGGAGACTTTCCTTACTACTATGCTAATTTAGGTAAGTGAGTTCCTTCCAGGGTGCTGCCCCTTGTTTACCCTCCAGATGTTGTCCAGACTCCGAGTCCCTTGATTTCTCCATCCTGTAGCAGGGTCTTCCCACCAGCCTACATTGGAGATGGCTTTCTAGAACCCTATCCTTAAACGGTGTGTCAGGATCAAGAATTATAAATCCAGCAGAGCATTGCAAAATGAAAAAACTCCTTTCTTGTCTAAGCAGCTGGACTTCACATAGAGTAGACTCATTCCTTTTTGAGAAACAGGTTCCCCAAACTACAGATCATTTCGAACATGACGATGGGTTTGCTATAATTTTACGTCTTCTCGTATATAAGATCGAACCAGGAGAGCTCTCCCTAATTTCTTTTTTCTTTTTTCTTTTTCTCTACAATCTCAACTTCTCTCTCTCCTACCAAAGAAAATTTGAATTAATAAAGGGGAAGGAGAAAGATTTAAGAATGGATGACGAGATAACTCTGTTCACGCATTTAACGTTTATTGTGCTTGTCTTATGTACTCTGTTAATGCAATGCTAGGTGTTTAGAAACAAAAAGTCAGATGAGATACAATCTCTGCTCTCAAGCAGCTTTTCGTCTAATCATGATGGGGAAAGAGAATGGACAGAGGGAGAAAGCTCTCCAAAAGGCTATTGTTACTGCCGTAGACCCTCTGTACATGGAGCCCCACTTGTGCTAGCGTTAGTAACATTTTAGACCTTTTCCCTCATTCACAGTTCCGAGTTGGAGAAACTCTGGGATAGTAAAGCATCTTTCAAGTCAATGTGGGAAAAAGATTCTAGATTTTCCACCCTGTCCCGATATTCTCCGTAACCATCTCACCTCTTTTTTTTTTTTTTGAGTTGTGCGTGTTTAATTTGAAACTGATAAAAAGAAACTTAAAAGAAGTGGTGGCCCGAAATACCAACCAGTGACAAAGAACCCTTTCAGCCAAATCAAACATATTATGGGGACTGTATTAAAATCAGTGAATGGCCCACACAGGGTAATGTATTTAGAATTTGGTAATTTTCAGAAAAAAGCCAGAGTCAGTAAAAAATGTCTACATATTTCCTGCAGAGCAGTGAGATCTCCATGTGGAGGGAGCACATTAGAAGTGTGTACATGATGCTTCCTAAACTAGTACAGGAAAATGTAGACGTGGTGCTTGATCTCACCAGGAGAAAGGAAACCCCTCCACCCTATTTCTTCTTCTTCGGCAAAGTTTTGAGAAAGTGGAGAAGTCAGCTTCTTTCTAACATGCAATTAAAGTACCAATCGGATGATCTAATTTGCTCTACAAAACACTCGCAGAATCCTTTAGGAGACGTTGTCTGATTCCTACCTTTATTCTATCAACATCAAAGCTTAACTCGAATGTCACTGCACACTCTTGTTTGCATTGAAGCTACCAAAACACAAAATTCCTGGGTCTGAACTACTGAAGTTTTAGAAGGCTTTTAAATGTGTCTCCAGTTTCCTAGTGAGTTCTTCCAGAAAACCTCATTTGGGGGGAGAAGCCATCTCACTGCTTTCTCTTCCGTGGCTCCTGCTCGTTTTACATATTTATCTAAACCTTTCCACCCAGGGCTTCAGAGCACGCAGCAGCGGAGGTCTGGGTCATGTACTTCTTCCCTCAGCTTATGTCAGAGCCACACAAAAAGAGCTTCTCGAGAGTGTAGAGGCTTCTGCTCCAAAATGATGATGATGGGGCTGAGGGGTAGCTGTGAACAATATTGAGCACTTAACTGTTCGCTGGGCCCTGTTCTCACTGCTGTGTCTGCATTCACGCCTTTCATTCTGTTCTCCTAACAGCCCCATAGGTTTGATGCTCTGACTCTCAGCCGCATTTCACGGCTTTGGAGACACCGAGGGGAAGATCCCACCCCCAGTGAGCAGTAGCACAGGGACTCACACCTAGACAGCGAGGCTCTGGATGCTGTTCTTTGAACCTTTACCACTTGCTGGTCATTATTGGAAATACTATTAATCAGGCCAAAAAGACAAAAAAAAACCCCCAAAACCCTTAACTCTATTATGAAGAATAAGAGCTATTCAAATACCCAGGGAGAGAGCACATTTCCTTAAATCCACCTTACAATGTCAGTGGCTGGAGTAGACTCTTCTGGGAGTAGAGGGTGGTGAGTGGTGGGCTGTGTGTTCAGACTTCGGGTCCCTAAAAAGCCGCAGGGAGGTCAAAGACACATCCCCAGGGGAGGAAGAGGTTATCCGAGGAAGAGCGTACAGGTGGACGTGGAGCTGTAAGTTATCAAGGTCTCAGGCAGCAGTTAACTAGCAGCTTTTCACCTTGTTTTTGTTCTATCAGGACAGAAGAGGGGAAGGAAAAATACGCGAGGAGGGAACATCAGCTTCAGGGCGAGGCAATGGAGCGAGGAGGAATGATTTTCTAAGTGTTGTTTCCCGGTGTTTCATTGGGCTTCTCTGGCGTTTCTATTTCAGGTTTAAAGCCCCCCCCCAAATTCACTGCAGTCATCCACGCAGTGACCCCCCTGGTCTCGCAGTCCCAGCCAGTGTTGAAGCTTCTCGTGGCTGCAGCCAGATCGCAGTACTGTGCCCAGGTGAGTGGGGGGCCAACCGCCGCTCCTGCCTCCTGCAGACCCTGCTCTTACCTGCTCTGTGCTCTGCTCCCTGGGGCTCATCCAGCGGCATGCCCCGTTACTCCCCTGCACTTGTCATGCTTGTTACTCCTCCCTTTCATCCGATTAGCTAAACATTCTTAGAAGTGAAATTTAGCACAGGTAAGGGACGGATTACAAAGAGATATTTCACTGGGGTAAAGTTAAAACATATATACCAACACATTCTTGAAAGAACGTGTAAGGACGTTATTTTGTTTTTAAACGTCAAAGTGTTAAGATAACCTCAGACATGCCATGGGAGGACCCAGAAGACGGAAGTTTTCAACGGAAGAAACAGACTTGTTGGTGTCAGGAGGTGTCCACTTTTCTTTCGTAGCACCCGTGGCTTCATTATAAAATTGGGAGCAGAAGATTCTATCTATGATAACAGAATTTTCCAAATCAGTGTCACTCCCATACTCTTTCCGCAGTGGCATTTCGGATTTGTAAATTAGGTTGTACAAGAAGGCTTACAAACCTGGAAAGAATTAAATCATATTGCAGTATGCCCTTCTGAACTGAACACACTTATTGGGAATAATAAAGTCACATAAAATCAGCAACCATTCTAGAGAATCCAAATCATGAGCTCACCCTACTAGTTAAATCTTGAATCCTCCTCTCTCCCACACTGCCTGGAGTAGCGCTGCTTCCCAGCCAATGTTCTGGAGCTCGCTACCCATTTTTATTTAATTTTGGTCAGTGTTGGTATCTCGCTCATCAAACAATATCAGAATTTAAGAAACCACTGTATCAAGATTCAGCAACCCTGAAATTTACTTCTCTTCTCCCCAGCTTTCTCCTGCCCCCTTGATGTAGTTTTTTTCAGGGTTCTCTTTTTGTCCTCTCTCTCTCTAGTTGTTGAGATGACTGAGTTCTGGAGATTGTGTGGGAGGGGGGCTCTCTTTAAAATTCAAGTTTGATGTCTGCCTCTCTGCCTTGCTTAGGCCTCTTTCTGTCTCTAAGAAGAAGCTGGGTGGAGGTCTCACTAAAGTCAGCCTCACCAAGCCGTTCATGGCCTCCTGTCCCTTTCAGATCATAGTTCTATGGAATTGTGACAAGCCCCTACCAGCCAAACACCGCTGGCCTGCCACAGCTGTGCCTGTCATTGTCATCGAAGGAGAAAGCAAGGTAGGACGGAAAGGGGCCCTGAGCATGGAACTGCCGTGGACTGTTTGTTTCTCCGTGGGGCGCCGTGGGTGTTGGCCCTAGACAGCTTCTTCCTGCCCCCCCCTCCCCGGGGAGCTTCTGGTCTGGACTCTTTTTTCTAAAATTTTCCCTGTCACTGAAAATCCTCAGCTTTGACAGCTCTCGGTTCTTGAATTGGGGATTCGTGGGTCCTAACACCACCTCTTTAGGAGCTTTGTGGCCCCGCATATCCTTTCCTTCTCTGACCGTCGGTTTCCTCCTCATCTACAAAATGGAAGTAATAACATATTCCTAGGGTTGCTACTAGGATACAATGAATTCAGGGCCTGGCAATAGTGATCGTTGTATAAACGAAGAGGATCAAGACAAAGCTGCTGATGGCGGCCAAGCATGAGGTTTGCTTAGCTGGTTCATCTGGATCGGTTGTGTCTTTCAGAATAGTGGCTCGTCCTCACATTTATCTTCAAAAGGACATCTGCACTTTAATTCCATATGGGTGTCTCCATCAGAGACTCACACGTGCTGCCTAGCTGTCCCCTTGCTTCCATTCTCCAATTCATTTTGCCTGGAACTGAATGATCTTCTAATCATCTCTCAGCCTTAAGGGACTCTATTTGCTAATGCTCGAAATCAACATTTGAGGCCGTGTGTAATCTGGCCTTGGCCAGCCTTGCCAGTCTTCTTCTCTCTCATTGCTTCCCCCACCCAGACCCTGTCCTCTCACCAAATTTGATCATTCACAGTTCTCTAAATTGCACTGTATCCCCTCCTGCCTCTAATTCTTGCCTTTCCCTTTTGCTCTAAGTCTCAATGCTTTATCTCTGTTATCAAAATTTCCATGCATTCTTTAAGCCCCTGTTCCCATGCTACCTCCTCTTTGGAATTTCTTCTGCTCTTGGCAGCCAGGGGTGAGTTCTTTTTTCTCTAGCTTCTGCTTGTTGCTTTCTTGTAGATCATATCCATTGTGAAGAAATTGGTTGCTACTAAATGGAACAGATTGGTGAAGCCTGTCATCTAAGAGACATCCTTTGTTAGTCCCCAAGAAGGCAGGTCTTGAGAGATTGTCTCACACTAAGTAAAACATCTTTGAACCAGGATAAAAAATACCAATTAGGTCAAACCATTTGAAAATCATCATTTGGCTTGCTAAAAGTAGCAGTTTCATGTAGTTCGACATGATGCAGTGAGAATTACAACTGTCACGTGGGCAAGATGATCAATGCATTATCTATTCATTTCCAGTGTATGACCGCCTGCTCTGTGCCAGGCACCATGTAGTATGTTGGAACGCAGTGCGCGATATGACGGATAAAGTCCCAGCATTCGCAGGGCTGGAGTCAAGTAACATGGTTATCCAAGAGCTGCTTCATAAGCATTTAATGAGTAAAGGTGGGAATTAGAAAATCACCTGCCTCTAGGCATGGGTCTTACTTACCCTTATGAAGTCCATCTCCCCAGTGCCAATGCCCGAGGTCCTAAACAGTGCTCAGATGGCTGCTGTCAACTTTGGACTTGGGACTTCATTGTTTTTTGTGCTTCCATGGGTGACTAGCTCTCCTTCTGGTAGATAAGTCTTCCTTTGAATATGTCAGGATATCAAACAGGATCCAGTCAGACTGGGTGCCATTCTGACTTCTATAGTTAGTATTGCATTTTTACACACAGATTCACTGATTGATTTTTTATTCTCACTCTGTGAGTAGTCCCAGTTTCTTTATGAACAAGATGGTGGCTCGATCAGCTGTAGCTTATAAGATATTTCACATTCTCCCAGCCATATCAATTGCTTCTCGGCCTTTTGGCTAGGATCAAGTGTTGTGCATTCTCCCAGCCATATCTGTGTCTGGGCTTCTGGCCGTTTGTTGAGTCCTAGCCTCTGCCTTGGCCTGTGATTCCAGTGGGCCATTCCTTTTCCCTCACTCTCACTGCCCTGGGATTGCACCACCTAGTAAAGCATTTGTACTTAATTAAGTATCACTTCAGGCTCTGTATTCTGGAACCTCGGCCAAGACTCAGGCCCATTTTGAGGATTCAATGAGATAGTACATTACAGGGGCTTAGCCCTGGGCCTATGATGCACCCAGGGTCCACTAAATGTCAGCTGCTCTTCTGGGTGGCATTGGAACATTACAGTTTGTTTTATGGGCTGTGAAGCGAGTTATTCAAGTCTCTGTGCCTCAATTTCTCCTTCAGTAAATGGAAGCAATCATAATACCTAAAACAGGGTTGCTAAAAGATCAAATGGTACAATACTGGACGTGTAAATGCACTCGGAAGTGTGGATGCACATGGTGGGTGCTTGATAAATGTTAACTCTTACTGTGCTTTGTATAATTACTTAGGGATATTCCTTATCTTCCCCATTAGACAATAAACTTGAGTCTTGGTCATTTCCTACCCATGTTTGCTAATTCCAGAAGGGGTTGGGCTGGTATATGGTAGCTAAATATTTCTTACGTGAACTAATAAGCAAAACCCATTTCACTTAGGATTGACTTTCTAAGTACTCCAGTTCCTTTCACGTTAAACCATTGAACTTTTGGAATGTGGCCGAGGCAAGGTATTTGGAAGAGAGCGTCTAGTTTCTACACTAGAATTTGAAGTTGCTGGACGATGGGCTCATAACCTCTGTTGATGAAGCAGGTTCAGAAAAAGGAAATGGATCCTTTTATAAAACCAGTGGTTGGGAACGTAATGGGAAGGAAGTCATAGGTCCTGCTCATTCCCCATTGTACATTTCCATATCTAGCCTTGAGTTTAGGGTTGATGTGTTCACTGTTTTGGCTGCAACATTCTATTTTGAATGTATAGGCCTTGTCTGTGCAGCTCTCCCCTATAGACTTAACAAGGGAAAGGTCAGGGCATCGCTAAGCTGGCAGCTAATGGTTTCTGTGTTAGTCTGTGGACATGTAAACTGTATCAGGAGAATTGCTTCAGGCTGAGATTTCTGAGCACCGTGTATATGGGGTTGCTGATCGCTTTATATTTTATTTTATTTTGAAAGCCTGAGAAAGAAAAAGAAAACTTGACCCAGTTGACGGATGTGTAGGAGCAGACCCTGGAGCCTTTATGCTGTAGATACATCCCTTGAGCTCCCAGAGTTGGGCACTTCCCATCCTTTAATGTCAGCAGCCCTCCAGTAGCTTCATGGGCGTGGAAACCGAATCGCATAGACCAGCTGGCTTCTTGTTGTAAATGCAAGCTTGAGCTTCCCGGCGGTGGAGGTCCTCAGATTTGCGGGTGTCGTAACTGTTGATTTGACTTGCAGAGGAAGGTGGTGAAGATGAGGTTGCCTGATGTGCCCCCAATTCACTTTTGAGGTCCTTCTCGAACCTGAGACAGGTGTCACATAGTGGCTGAGGTGCTCTACAGAATCTCACCGTGGGGGATGAAATGCGGGCAGGTCCGTCCTGAGCAAGACACCTAATCTTTCTATGCCTTAGCTTTCTCAGCCGTAAAATGGGGTTATTACAAAGGAGAAATGCGATGCTATTACAATGTTAGTTATTCTTATCATTCTCATGGTTAGTTGTTCTGCAGAGTACATTGACCACAGAGGTTTAAGGTATGACTGTCACAGAGAAGTCTCTCTAGTCTTTTTTTTTTTTTTAAGATTTATTTATTTATTTGAGAGAGAGAGAGAGAGCATGAGCCGGGGGAGGGGCAGAGAGAGAGAGAATCTAAAGCAAATTCCACACTGAGCACAGAGCCCGAATGGGGCTCGATCTCAAGACCCTGAGATCATGACCTGAGCCGAAACCAAGAGTTGGACGCTTAACCAACTGCGCCACCCAGGCGCCCTGGAGTCTCTCTAGTCTTAATTTTCCAGCTGGTCCTCTCATGCCCAAAGCCCTCACCCCAGACCGCCCACACACACCTCACCATGCCTTATCCTGGAGCTGCCCAAACTTTATTCATATACTACCTTCACAGTTTGCCTAAATCCATGGACCACATCGGCTATTTTTAATTTAATATTTGTCTATAAATCGGCTTACTTTTCATTTCAGTGAGATGATTTTTAAATAACTTTACTACTACTAGCTACTGATACATGTGTGTATATTTTTTTTCTAATCTATGCTAACATCCGTAAAGAGGAGAATTTTTAAATGTTTTTCTATGTACCTCCCAAAACGACGCGGCCTTCCAGTGGTGTGTGCCCCACACTTGGAATCACAGCTCCATCCGTCTAGTCTCTCCAGGCCTCAGTGTGCGGGTTCTCTCCTCTGTGCCTTCACATCCGCTCAGCCCTGTTTCTGCCTCACTTCTGTTTATACCTGGTGAATTCCTATCCATCAAGTCCTCCTGCAGTGTCATTTCTTCTACGAGGCCTTCATCTGCCCTTCCGAGCGGCTGGTTGCAGGCTGGGACAGATCGTCTGCATCTTGATGTCTCTGCGGACTGTGAACTCCTCCGAGACAAGAGAATATGTCTCACTTACCTTTATGTACTCCCTTTGACTAGCACACAGTAGGTGCCCAACAACTGTAGAACAAATGACTACACTGATGGGAAATGGAAGTCTTCAGTGTTGAGGGGTGACATGGTGGCAGAACATTCTTTTTGAAGGTGAGGATGGGGGCGTTTTCCCGAAAACAGGTCTCTAAGTTTACCTCTCCTTTCCTTAATTCCTTCCCTCCTGCCTGCTTTCCACCCACTCCCAGGTTATGAGCAGCCGTTTCCTGCCCTATGACAACATCGTCACAGACGCCGTGCTCAGCCTCGATGAGGACACTGTGCTTTCAACCACGGAGGTAAGCGCCCCCACCTGAGGAGCGGGCGGGGGGCTCTTCAGGCAGTTGCCCCAAACCCCAAGGTGCCGGCGCTTCTTTTTCCCCGGGCCATGGACAAACTGAAAACCTTTTTCAAAACTTCCTGCAGCGTCGGTTCTAATCAACCCAGTTCCTGTGAGCACCTTGCCACCACCTGGCGCCCGGAAAAGGGCATTTTCCCCTTCGTTTTCTCTGCTAATTGGCTTCTCATTTGCATGGCTGTGCCTCACCTCTTCCCTCCTGCCTGCCCTCCTTTTGTTTTTAAACAGCACAGCTACCGGCAGGTGTGTGGTACCCAGAAGAGAAGGGGGCGGCACCTGCTTAGCATCATCTTGAGACCACATGGTGCAGAGCAAACAACCCATCCTTCCCCAGTGATCCGAATGCCTGTGTGGGTGTGTGTTGCCTTTGTTGGCGAACACTATTCTGGGTTCTGAAGGCAGCCTCTCTGTCTCAATTTTAAGTGCTCATTTTCTTTTACCCGCACAAGAGCAAACGGTTTCACTTTAAGACTGAGACGGGAGATCCTTGCTATTTCAGATGTTCAGGTATTTGTGCCAAAAATGAGATTGCACAAAAAACGTGTGAGGAGGAGAGAGAGAGAGAGGAGGAGAGATAGATATGATAGAAAACCAATTTTTACAACTCGAATGAGTATTGATCTCAGAAACCTTACTTTAAACCATCGAGGGGACCAAAGACAGTTCTATAAAAATGTCGTATATTGGAAATGCATTATTAATGGTAGCTGCTAAAAAGCGTGGAATCTGAGCTACTTATACCTTTCCCTTTCTTTTCCCCCTCTTATTCATAATCACTTTCTTTTTAATTTAAACATCGACACTTACCAGCATGCACTTTCCTGGACGCCAGTCCGATTCTAATAGCCTGCCATCCATGTAGCCGGCACTGGGTGTTAACCTAGGCTAGCAGTCCCACTGTCTCCTTCTTGAAATTCCATGGATGCTTCCAATTTCCATCCGATGGAGTTGAACAGACATTATGTGCAGCCTGAACAACCCCAGGACAAAATGCCCTGGGCCTCACCTTGGTAAAAGGCTTTCTCTGCAGCCCAGGCTCTATAAATACTCGGTGAATGAATGATTGAAGGGATGCATGCTGAGGGAAGCAAAGTGTGAATGCACAGCCGATTGTGTCCTGTGCAAGTTAGCAGGAGAAGGGGGCTCGGGGGGCCAGGGGGAAGATAGGTTTAATGTTCCAAGGGAATGGCAGCTATGGACTACGGGGTATGGGACACTCTGGCTTGCATGTTTCTGCTGCTTCCTGCAAGGGAAGCTGGCATCCAAGGAGCACATTCGCTCCCCAAGTATCTATCAAGGGATCTCTTTGTTCTGCTCTCCGTGCCGGGCACTGGGATTACACAGTTCCTGCCAATGGCCCTCCGAGTCCTGGCAGCAAACAGAACTCAAGTCAGGTGATTCCAGCGAAGGGATTTCGGATGACTTAGGTGGGTGGGGCTAAAGACGCTGAGGTACCTGGAGAGCAGCAAAACAAGCAGCAGCTCCCCCTGCCCCTTCCCCCAGGTCTGAAGGAAATAGTGTTTCAGAGTCTCTGAGAGGTGGAACTGGGGAGAGGACCTGCCCAATGGGAGCTATGATCACGGGGGGATGTGGCAACTGCCCGAAACTCTGCTGCCAAACCTAGGAGGGAGCCAGGGAGAAATACTCCGACCTCTCGCTCTCTGTCCCGCCTCCGTTTGCCGGCGGGTGACTCCCACTGACCTAACCCGGTCAGCCACTGGCCTGTCAGGAAGACCGGGCTGTGCCTTCCAAAGTGGACCTTGGAGGGCAAACACAGGGAGAACAGCACCTCGCAGGAATGTGTGGTCAAGACAGCGATGGCATATATTTAAATCCTTATCCCTTGACCTCAGGTACTCATGCAGTGTATGTCTCTCCCTGGGCAATCAGTCCCACTCTAGAGTTATTTTTTTCCCTGTCCCACAGTCACATCTGTTTCGGCTTCTGTGATGTTTCCATGGGGCTGGTGAATTTCTTTTCAAAGACGAGCAATTCCAGCCGCTGGTACGCGCTGGGAGGAACGTGTGACCTCTAGGAAGTAATTAGAAGTCAGTGTGGATGGAAAGTGATATGTAAATTTAAGAGGCCGGTGTTCTGGTTTACTTTTGCCTGCTGATCATGGAGTGATCGCATCACCTAAGATGGTCAAGGACGAAGGGCTTCTCTTTTTTTAAGTGAATAGATGGTGGTTCATTTTATTTCCTCTCTAAGGAGTCTCCGCCTGTTTAAATGCCTCCCTGTAGTATTAAGGATAGATTTTTAAACAGCATTCTGCAAACGGTATTAGATTTAGTTGGTTTACAGTTATTTACATTTATCTGGGTTGCTGCAAATTCTCAAAAGAAAACAGATGTTGGTTTTTAAGCTGACCTTTGCCTCCTCTGATGTGTTAATGATCTTCGGGAAAGCGGAACTATCACAAGAATCATAGTTTTATCTGAATTTACTTTTTGAGTTCCTTTGAAATGACTTGAAACAGCTTTGAGAGAGTAAGAAATTCATGTGATGAGAAAACCCCATCGGGTTCTATAGGCGTTGCCAGGGTGTGTGCTTCCTTTTCAAAGAATCATGGAAAACCCGAAAGAGCACTGGCAGCCGGCCTGCTTGACGACGGGCTGCATGAGATACCGTCCCATCAGTTGACACCATTAATATTAAGCACCAGTGATGGTGTGCAGGTTATCACAACCCGATTTCCATCTTCTGGCAAATACTGTCCACTCCCCTGCTGCTGGTTTTGAGATGCCCTGTTCCCCAACAGGCTTTCTTAACGTATTTTCCAACACCCCTACTTTTTTTTCTGGATGTTTCCATTTGGGTGGGGGGGACAAGCTATATGCTTAAGGCTCTCTTATCTTGAGTTAGGGGGCCAAACTAGATTTTCCTAAAAATTTGAATATATGGCTGTTCACAAAAACAGTGACTTCTAGACCCAAAGGATTCAGAGATAAAAGGACCCTCACAGATCCCTCAGGCCAGTGTTCTGGAAGGATGGTGTGTGCCCCTTAGTTTTGCATGGTTCATGGCAAGCATATTTCAGCAATTATATTTACTGTTTGTTGGAAAACAATATAGCCAGCAACCAGACCTAGGGTTTCACTGACAGGTTTGCCTAGGATGAGGCTAATGGGGGGGCGGGGGGAACCAAGCATGGGCAATTTAAAGAACAACAGGAAAGAAGTGATTGTATGGTGTGGGAATGTGGCAAAACGGGAATGACATTGTGCATGTGGTGAAAGCATGGGGACTACTGATCTAGGCTGAATTGCTTTTTCTTTTAATTGAGGTAACATTCACAACATGAAATTAACCATCTTAAAATGAATAATTGAGTGGCATTTACTGCATTCACGATGCTGGGCAGTCATCAATTCTGTCTTACTCAAAAACATTTTCATCACCCAAAAAGGAGACCCCATATCCACTCATCAGTCACTCCCTAGCTTTTAGAACCACACATCTGTTTTTTGTCTCTGTGGATTCGCTTCTTCTGGGCAATTCATACAATATGTGGCCTTTTGTGGGTGGCTTCTTTCACTCAGCACACTCTTTGCAAGGCTCATCCATATTCTAAGTATTCATTACTTCTTAGAGCTGAATAATGTTCCGTCGTATGGATATACCGTGGTTGGTTTATATATTCGTCAGTTGATAGAACCTGGGTTGTTTTCACTGTTGGCTGTTGCAAATAGTTATTGCTTTTCGACCTCTGGGAGATAGGAACCGGACTTGACACCATCACTCCGTTCCCAGCCACCATCACAGCGCCGCGACTGGAAATATTTGTGGAATAAATGAAATTTCCATTTGCGTTGCTTATGGAGAAGAGACAAGAAAGTTTGTAGGCTGAGTGTGTAACCTGTAGAAGAGTTGAATTGTTCTCAATACTGTAGCAGGAGAGCTAAAAAGGAGGCTATGGTAACAGTACATGACAAATTTGAAACCAGATGGCTGGATTTAAATCTTGACTCTGCCACTTACTGCACCTCCATGTACCTTAGCTTCCCTCTCTGTAAATTGAGACTATAAAATTACCTACTTCACAGGGTGATATTGTGAGGATTACGTGAGTTAAAACTTTGGTCGGAGTACTTACGTGTAAGTACTCTAACCAAAGCATTACATGATTATGAGCATTATATGATTGTTTGCTGTTACTGTTCTAAATTTTTTTGTACTTTCTGTGTACTTCTTTATCATTCATCAATCATAGCAAGTAAGAAATTTGCTCACACATTTGAAAACAGACTATTTGCTAATTATAAATGTCGGTCTTTAGCAGGTTGAGAAGTACCTGCTTTGGGTTATCATAAGCACTGGACAGTCATTTACCTGCATTTTCTTTAAAATAATCACGTTTAGGGGTGCCTGGGTGGCTCAGTCGGTTAAGCGTCTGCCTTCGGCTCAGGTCATGATCCCAGGGTCCTGAGATCAAGCCCCGCATCGGGCTCCCTGCTCTGCGGGAAGCCTGTTTCTCCCTCTCCCTCTGCTGCTCCCCCTGCCCTCTCGCTCGCTCTCTCTCGCAAATAAATAAATAAATAAAATCTTTTTAAAAAAATAAATAAAATAATCATGTGGCTTCACTTGGTCTCTTCCCTACTTACTCTTAGTGATTTTTCACTGTGGATGCTTTTTCTAGCTTTCCTTTTTGCTGAGCATCTTCAAACCTGAGAGGCCTGACTCACATTTCTCTATGATACCTGCTCTGAATTCCTGTTAGAACTTGTGTAGTTTTTAAACTTCTTTTCTCTTGCTCTCAAGAGGATGCTTTTATTTTAGTCACTTTGGCTTTGCTGGATGCTAGTCATGATGCATGCTGTATATTCATACTCTGGATGTGCATGGGAAATCTCTCGTTTACAAAACAGATGCATGTGTGCCTCGCATGAAACAGTGGTCACGTGCACCAAGGACGGAGGAGGGGGAGACAGCAGTTGCTTTTCTGACTTGTGTTTTTGCTTGAACAAACTGGATTCTAAAGGACATATCAGCAGTTTCTTTTCTTCTTTCGTTTCTGCACTAATCTGAAGTTTCTTCAACAGAAAACATTAAAATGTGCATAATTACGGGGCAAAATGTCAAGCAGTCAGTTTAATTTGCTGATGAATACATGGAATTAATGTTTCGCAACAGTCCTGGGATTTCGCATCATGAATTAGCAGGGGGAAGGTAATGTTTTGTTGACATTTGTTAACACTGTTGATTGCTTGTTTGGCTTGTGTTCTGCCTGCAGGTGGATTTTGCCTTCACCGTGTGGCAGAGCTTCCCCGAGAGGATTGTGGGGTACCCGGCGCGCAGCCATTTCTGGGATAACTCTAAGGAGCGGTGGGGGTACACATCCAAGTGGACAAACGACTACTCCATGGTGTTGACAGGAGCTGCTATTTACCACAAGTGAGGAATTTAGAAATCCCGCCTGTCGATTTTTACGTAACTCCTTCTATCGTAGCTTCTGGCTGTTGCATAAAGAGGAACTTGGGCCAAATCTCGTGAGCAACAATAACAAAAATTAGTTTGCATCGCTGTTTAAGTTCTGTCGGTGTGGCCAGCCTGTGTCTTTGAAACCAATAAAACCCCCTGGCTTACTACTGCATTTCCAGAAATAATGGTAGAGAAACATATCAGGTTGTCTGGAGTTGGAGGACATACTGAGTAACTGAACATTTAGAATAACAGCAACAAAAGTACATACTTAATTGTGCACCCCCAGACATCATTCTGAGTGCTTGGGATTTACCAAAGAGTTAAAAAAAAATTTTTTTTTTTCTTGCCTAAGTAGGTTTTCTATTCCAACAAGGGGAGGACATGATATTTGTAATAATTCTATAATAGGTTAAGGGGGTGAGTTATATAGCAAAAAGGCAAAGTCGAGCAGATCAAGGATCATGAATGGTGAAGGTAGAGGGGAGGTTCAAGGGTGGCCAGTGATTCTCATTGAACAGGTGAGATCAGAGCAGAGTCTTGAAAGAAAGAGGGGAAATCATCCAAGATTTTTGTTAAGAAGAGTGCTCTAGTGTAGGGAACAGCTGAGCCAGAATGTTGGATAAATGCTCTGAACCAGAATGTTGGAGGAATATCAGGAAGACCAATGTGCTGAGAGTAGACTGAGTGGAAAGCAAGAGAGAGAGGTCATGGGGGGCCCAGATGCAGGACCTTGCTGCCCATCATGAGGACTTCACTCTGAGTGACGTGGGAGCCAGTGCAGGGCTTTGAGCAGAGTGGAGACATCTTTTTTATATTTTAGGGCATCCCCTCTGGTTGCTGTGTTGAGAGCAGACTATATGGGGGCCAGGGTAGATGCAGGGAGACCTATTAGGAGGTGATTGACATCTAGGCAAAAGTTGATGGAGCCTGGGAGCCAGAGGTGGTAAGTAGTGATCAGATTGTGGGCATATTTTGAAGATGCTCTAACATGATGTCTTGACAGATTGGTTATAGAGTTTGATGGTTAAGCTTTTCTGACCTAAGGAACTGGAAGGATAGAGAGGCCATCAAGAGATGGGGAAAGCCCTACGGATGGATTTAGGTTTTAGGGAAAATACAGAGTTCAGTCTTGGGCATGTTAAGACATCCAAAAGGGTATGTTGGAAAAACAGCAGGGATGGAGATATACATTTGGGAGTTGTTTGAATATATTTGGTCTTTAAAGCCAGGGAACTTGGGTAAGACTGCCAAATTAGTGAGTTTAGATGGTTAACGTTACTGACTCAGTCATTTTCATCCATTCTTCTGCCTAGTCTTTTTTAGTAAAGGATAAAAAATCTTGCTATGTCAGGGATAGAGTTGGAAATGCATAAAGAATAAGCATTTAGGTGAGCCGAATCTTGATCTTAAGACCCTGCCTCTTAAAAGTTCGTTGTTCCCCTTTCTTCCCTGCCACTAACACACACACAGTGAATCTTATTCATTCAAGTTATTTTTCCTATAAGTATATGCTATTATGTCCCTCTTAAAAAGAGTAGAGTGAGAAATAAGTCAACTTAATTATGGGTCCTCCATAATGCCTGACCACCAGATTAATTAAAGTTTTGATCTAACTGTCAAAATAATATGGTTTATAGAACACAAAAATGGAATAGTATATTGTTGGACTCAGAGTTATAGGATAGTATTGACTACAGTTCTGATTAAGCCAGTAATTAAAATTGTAAAGCAGTTTGTAAGGATATACAGATTATGTGTAAGTAACTTCTCTTACCATCCGAGTATTCAGTTCCTAACCAACCGCCCTGATATTAAAGTCAGGCTGGCCAAGCAGTATCTGCATCTGTGTGTATCTCTTGTACCTTCTTTCCTTGTCTGTAAAGCAAGGATAATAATAGTACCTATATCATAGGTTCCTTATGAGGATTATATGGGGCATTCCTTGTAAAGCACTTTAGAACATTATCTGGCATATAGTAAGTACCGTGTAAGTGATGGCTGTCGTCATCGTCATCCATTACATGTTTAGGGATTCAAACAATAAGTATAGGTTGCCTATCAAAGAAGACCACCTGTGATTATATAATGATGGCCACCTGTGAAACCTGTCTTGTTTTTATAGATATTATCACTACCTGTACACCCATTACCTGCCAGCCAGCCTGAAGAACATGGTGGACCAACTGGCCAACTGTGAGGACATCCTCATGAATTTCCTGGTGTCTGCTGTGACAAAATTGCCTCCAATCAAAGTCACCCAGAAGAAGCAGTATAAGGAGACAATGATGGGGCAGGTAAGAATAGAACTCTCCTTCCCTGCTTTGCTCGCTGGTGGTTCAGCCTGGGGTAATGACTCACAGTTCCTCTAGGAAGGATAATGAGGAAATTTTTTAAAACTATCTGAAAGTCCCAAGGGAGTATATGGTTGGCACATGGATGATTGGGAAGACGTAAGTCAAGGGTATCTTTCTCTCGAGATTGTAAAAGCTCTCATATAACCTACAAAGTGGCATGAGAAACATCAACCTTCTCCAGAGTTTAAGACCTACAAAGAATTTATGTAAGCTTATTGTAGGTGCTTTATTTAGTAAATAGCTAATAATATTGTCCTCAACACAGCCTTCTGGTGATTGCTTTTGAGTTGGGTGAGCATCTTGGTGACAGACCAGGAATCACAATCCTTGATTTTCACCTGGAATTGGCACATGGAAGCTATACACAAGTCGGTTACCTCCTGAAACACAGTTGGCTCATCTCTAAAATGGAAACGGTAAAAATCGACCTCACAGGGTTGAGATAACATGTATGGAAACTGCTATGAAAGTAAAATATTGTTGAGTCACGTAAGTTTAGAACTAAAGATACTTGCAAGGAAATCTAATCCAACTTTCTCTTTTTACAAGTAAGAAAACGAGGACTCAGAGAATTTAAACATATTGCCACAAGTCACCTAGTATTAGAGACGGAAGTGGGAGTTGAATCCCATGCTCTGTTCCTTCCACTACTCTTTATTTTACACCTCCGGCTACTATATCAGGCTGATCTGGATATGCCGAGGCTCATTCACCTTTATTCGTCTTGGACAGAGCCCAGTACTATATGGAAGAAATCAAAAACCTGTAGACCATTTAGATACACCCAAGTTAAATCCTGGAGAATCCAACAGCATTTGAGTCAACCTGGAAGGACTTACTTGAGGGTTGGATCAGTTTGCTTGTTGAGGTTTTCCATGTACCTTGTTCCAATCATTATTGAAAATCATACACAGATCTAGCTTTTGCAAAGGAAAACTTAACCAGACCTCCTGTTAACAAAATTGATGGATTTTCGTTCACTAAATTTAGTAAGAGCAAAAATCTTGCAGGATCTTAAGTTTATAGAATTTCATAATTCAGTATTTACAAATGTTTACTGATTGTCAGGCACTGTCCTTAGTGAGCAATGAGTCTAGTGGAAAATTTTATTTCCCTCTAACTACTAAAAGAACAGGAAAGAGGATTTACAAGAATTTTTCATCTTTAAGGCTAACAGACTATTCCAATTCAAGCAAGATGTATTGAGTGGCTTACTGTGTGCCCAGGCGTTTTTATCTATGTCATTTAAGGACACGACATTCCTTTAATATTGTTTGCTCAGAGAGTTCTATGAACTTCCCTGAGGTTATACACTCATTAGGAGTGGAACTCTGATAACACGTGGTTCCTTAGGAGTTTGTTTTATATATATATATTTTTTAAGATTTTATTTGTTTGCCAGAGAGAGAGAGCACAAGCAGAGGGAGTGGCAGGCAGAGGGAGAGGGAGAAGCAGACTCCCCGCTGAGCAGGGAGCCCGGTGTGGGGCTTGATCCCAGGACCTTGGGATCGTGACCTGAGCCGAAGGCAGACACTTAACTGACTGAGCCACCCAGGCGCCCCTTGTTTTGTATTCTTTGCATAGATTTGCCTAATTCTACCAAACCAATATTTCAAGTGATTTTACACATATTTTGGGACAAATCTGAATTTAGCCTTAGATATAACTCGATGTGTCTAGTTAGATATGTACTGTATATGCCCCCCGCCTTCCTATCATGCACATGAGTTTATTGAATGTATGACTGGTAAAAGGATATCATGTGCTAATAAGATTATGTTTTTATTACAAAGGAACTCTATCTTCTCTCATATGTTGGTTGACCCAAAATAAATGTTAAAATCTACAGGCAAAAATGATACTTGGATGATTCTGAATTCTTTTTTTTTTTTTTTTTTCCCATTTGTAAAAGAGAGTAAGAATAAGCTTAAGCTCTTGACACTAGTCCGTTTGCATATGTGTGCACTTGCCTGGGGGTAGGGAGCCCGGCCCCATACCAATTTAGAAACAAAATGAGGTCCCTTTGGGACCGTTTGCTCTGATCTGAACTCATCTGGTTAGCTTAATTAGAAACTTTCTCTGGCTTACCAAGTAGAGTTCTCTTAGTATAAATGGTAAAGGATGGAACCTGAGCTCTGCCCCTTTCTAGCCTTGAACAAGTAAGTGTAGCTTCCCTGAACCTGCTTCCTCCTCTATGCAGTGGGGATGGTATTACCCCACTGGGTAGGGAACTTCACCAGGTTGTTGTGATGAGACTCAAATGAGCTTCATGGAAACACTTTACAAGTAGTGTTTTGTTTGTTATTCTGCTGCTCAGAGGTAACTTGACATTTGTATTTACCTTCAGTGGTTCCTTTCAAGCATGTTGACACTTGTGGTTTTTAAGTGACTCTGAGTGATTCTCACAGTAAAATGTACCTTCCTGCGAAAGCATTTTCCAACAGTGCATGAGAATAAAAACACACTGAACACACACCCATGCGTATATACATCATTGTACAGTTGCCTATTGATAAATGAGTGGGGGGGTTCCCCCAAAATCCGGTAGCTCCCTTTTTCTTTATTTCATAAAAATGTGGTTTGAACGACATGATGCTTATTTAAATGTCAGCACTTAAGTCATTTAAAGCTTTCTTTTAATTCAGTGTCCTCTACATGATCTAAAAGTGTTTAACCAGCCTTAAGGCAAACACCGAGAGCTAAAGAGATGGTAGCCATCTTTTCTGCTTACCCAGAATCAACCAAGTAAACCAGAAGGTTTTAGAAAACTGTCTTTGAAACCATAAACACATTGTGAGTCGTAGTATTTGTTCACATGTATGAAGAGAATTTTTATGTTTACTGACCATAGTAGTTGAGGCTCAATGGTAAATCATTCCCAGACCAGAGAATCAGTCCATGTGGAGCTTTGTTTGTATGTTTCTAACGTCCAGGAATGTAGCATATCTTGGGAAAAACCTTCTGGCAAGGCTGAAACCCAGGACTGGTGCTTGCACCTTCCCCAGCACAGGGGAGGTTGGGTGGCCCGTCCAGACCCCAAGCTCTGCCGCTTGCCCTCGAACCTGACTTTGGTTCTCTGCAGCATCCCCATCGTACCTTGCACCTCGCTCATTGTTTTCCTGGTTTGTCTCCCTTTCCCCAGACTTCTCGGGCTTCCCGCTGGGCTGACCCTGACCACTTTGCCCAGCGACAGAGCTGCATGAATACGTTTGCCAGCTGGTTTGGCTACATGCCGCTGATCCACTCGCAGATGAGGCTCGACCCTGTCCTCTTTAAAGACCAGGTCTCTATTCTGAGGAAGAAATACCGAGACATTGAGCGACTTTGAGGAATCCAGCCAAGTGGGGGAGGGGAAGCGAGAAGGGACGGGGTCAAGCTGCTCTCTCTTCCCAGTGCAGATCTGCTCAGCAGCGGAGCCAGATTGTGCCAAGTATCCAAATAATCTTAGATGAAGAGAATGATAACAAAAAAAAAGGAAAAAAGGAAAAAAAAAAAGGCCAATGAAAACTCGACTCCCGGCTCCTGGGACTGCACAGGACTGCTCCAAACTCACCTCACTGGCTTCTATGTCCCAAGACTAGGTTGTGTACAGTTTAATTATGGAACATTAAATAATTATTTTTGAAATGATTGCTATGCAGGTTTAAACTTTTTTAATGATCAAAACTATTAAAAACCAGAGTTCTTTCTTTAATCAAAATTGTGTTGGTCGTGACTATTTCAAAGCTGCTACTCTTCTTCCCACAAACATCATTGCCCTTGGTCATGCAGGGTTTCCTGCGGTTACAAATGTTCAGACTTCCTGGAAGACACAAGAAGTCACTCCACCCAGTGTCAAGAAGTAACCAAGCATAAGTTAAGACAAGTTCATTATTCCACTTTGCCAGTGCAAATTGTTTTCCACTTTGAATTTGCAGATCCACTTGAACTTCTGTCTCTAATACGTTGCTGCATGAGAGAAAGTATTATGACCTCCAGGTAGACAGTTGTAACAGAAAACTTTATGTCTGAGATATAGAGGTATGATCATCTTTTGCACTGGGGGGGTGGGGGGGAGTTAGGACTCAGAAAACACTAGTATAATTAAGAATGTTCAGCTTACACAAGGAACCATCCAGACAATCCACCAGCATATTAGTGAGATGGAAATACTGACCCGCAACAGTAACCCAAGGCTCTTCAGGGATGTGGGCTACATTATGCATTGAACCTTTGACACAGGGCTGCTGAGCGCTGGGGGAAGGCTTTGGCTTAGAGGCAGAGGAACAATGAATGTGTCCGTGGCAGACCAGGAATCACAAGACAAGCTCTTGATGTTTGTGAAAACCTCGAGTTTGAGAGGCTTCTCTGTTGAGAAAGTAGTACTCACGTGTAAATTCTCCCCGTTGAACACAAGCATTGCTGAGAAGTCACCGAGGGTGTACCTCACCACTGGGATCCTGATACCTCTTTGGGTCAAGCCTTGTTTCGAGCAAGAACTTGGCAAACAAAATAATCAGAAACAAATGTAAATACCATTTTCTGTCGCTTTAATTTTTAAATCTGTGGAGAAGCTGAGTTGTGCTTCTTGTTAAAAAGAACATTTCTACCCCTGCAAATGCTGCTTTGAGTTTCTGATGATTGTAAAACTGCAACTATAAACAGAAAAAAAAAAAAAAAAAATATATATATATATATATATATATACATACATACATGTCCCTTAACTCCCTTGTAGAAGATGAAGATTTCTTTTTTTTTTTAAGATTTTATTTATTTATTTGAGAGAGCGAGACTGAGAGAGAGAGCACATGAGAGGGGGGAGGGTTGGGAAGGTCAGAGGGAGAAGCAGACTCCCTGCTGAGTAGGGAGCCCGATGCGGGACTCAATCCCGGGACTCCAGGATCATGACCTGAGCCGAAGGCAGTCGCTTAACCGACTGAGCCACCCAGGCGCCCTGAAGATTTCTGATATTAAATGCCTTCTTCTACTTGGAAGAGGCAAGAGAGAACAGAGGGGATCATTAGTGGGTCCTACCACCTCTTATTCTGAATAAACAGAAGCACTTTAGATTTTTTTCCCCCCTAAACTCTCAGAGAGCTTATAAATTTATTTCTAGTGTTGGCTGGGAAGAAAATTCCATCACAAAATTATGTTCAAATTCTTCCAAGTGCCTGGCTCAGGTCAATGGGAACCATAAATCCGGCAGACTTGAACTCATCTTGCTTTGTAGACATCCGGAAGGGAAAGAGGGACTGGCGAGAGAACAAGGAGGAAGGGCCCCGCGGACAGGAGAGAAACTGGGTGTTTGCAGAGGTCCAGAGAGGTGACACAGGGCTGCGTGGCAACAGAGCGAGGGCCAGCCTGTGCATCCCGGACACTGCGCTGGGAGTGGCATGAGGGCAAGGAAGCTCCACGAAAGGGGGGCTTTTCTCTGCAGCCTCGTGCCTCAGAACAGTTCTCGAAGGCTCTCTGGCATCCAGTGTGACCCAGCGTTAGCCCACTCTCAAACACGTGACATTTTCTCCCAAATGGATGTGATTCGCTCTTCTGTATTTGTTGAAAAATAATTCTTAGGTCCATGGTACTTGCACTTGTTTCTTCCTCTGAAATGTCCGGTTTGACAGGTTCGGTGCCATTGAAGCTGCAGGTCTCAGCGACGTCAAGGGTTAGCAATGAATCCTTATTCGCCTGGCCTTGGCAAGATTGTATTTAATTTTTTAGGATTGCCAAAATATTCTCGTAGCTTCCTCCTTTGCAAAAATGTGAATGCAATGTTTTGTTCAACGACCCCCAAGCCAACTTGAACCTCCTGTTGTCACTTGGCTGGCAGAGCCGTGTCCCTAATTGTACCAGTCACATGAATAGATTCAGGAACCCGCTTTGTGAGATTTACCTGTCACAAAGCTCCCAGGGCATATTCTCCACAAATGGTATGTGTTACGTGAAAGAAAAAAAAAAAAAAAAAAAGACGGTAATTATAAATGAGAACAGGATCTGACACACTCGGCCACTTTAAATCTCCATGGTTTCATTTCATGTCATTGTCTGAGCCAATCTCTTTGGGATGCTAGCTGGTGTGTTCTTTTCCCATTTGGAACATACAGCTGGGAATTGAACAATGCTTAGCACATCCGTGAGGCCCCATAGTAAGATGTAATTTTAATTCACTTAGGCAAGAGTTCTATTTCATTGCAGCAAGTTGACAAATGATAACCATCTCTGTGGGGTGTCAGGAGTTATCGCTCAGTCAAGTTTAATGATAACCAGGTGTCCCTAAGTGGGCCAACATGAATTGGGAAGAAGCCAAGGCCGGAGAGTGCAGCACCAACCCTGTAACAAATTACATGCAGACACTCCATAGAGGACTCGGCCGCTTATGATTTCTACACAACCATCTTCTTCCAGCTCCACGTTAGGAC